CCAAAATCGTACGGCACCGGAATGCGCAACAAGAACACTCCTCAAAGAAATCTGACACTGTAAAGGCAAGACAAAGAGTTGGGAGTATATCCACGCACGGCGACAGAATTAAAATTATGCCGACATGTCGGACGTTTGTCACCGTCGAGATTAACAGTTTCCTGGACTATCGCGTTACTAATCAATACAGAAATACGCTTAGACGTGACTGGGCTTCCTATGCGGTATCCCTTGCCTTGTTTATGACTATTGATTAGCTTGGAAACAACTCTTTTTAAATAGAAATATTGGTGATGTCGATTTAGTTATTCCAACTATTGGAACACTTGCTCGGCATTTTTGGATGCTACGAACCATCCAAGTTTTGCACAAGCACGTCAGGTCTGCAGGGTATAGAAAGCCAGTATAATTGGAAAAGATATAAGGCATTCTATCTTAGTCCTCAGATGTGACAACACATCTATAGCATTTTTACTTAAAATTTTAAATACTAAAAAATTTAAAAAAATATAAAAAAAATTTTTGCTGGTGTCCATGGGGTATATTGGTCAGCTACCATCAGGTGAACTGTAACATCACTTGTAACTTCATTTTTAAAAACTACAATGGTAGTTGACCTTGCGGTAATGACTTAAGACAATACATCAGCCATTGTGTTCCGTAGGAGTAAAAGACGACTTAAAAATACGCCAAAGACATTCAGCCGTGTAATTGACGTCATCACAAGTCATCACAACAAGAAAAATTCTAATAACTTTTTCCGAAATGGGAAATAAGAAAATATTTAACATTTTAACTAAATGAGTTTAAACTTTTATCAAATGTTGCAATAGTAAAAATTGCGAAGCGATACCGAATTTCAGAACAAAGAGATTTCTCGATGATATAAACAAAGGATAAATTAACAAGTATGAAAGTAAAAACAATAATTAAAAAATAATACGACTGCGTAAAAGTGTTTACTAAAAAAATTTATACTCTGTGTCACTTCCACAACAAAGACGAATCTAATCACACCCCATATGCTAAAATCAATCAAGTCGCTTAGAACGTGCCAAAGAGATAGACATTCATACATATTCTTGAAAAACATTACCCTCTTTGAAGGGCAGGTGGAAAAAAAATGAGCATGAGATTTGCATGATGGTTAAATGTATAGATCGAGATCCACACATACGTCCTTTAATTAATACATAAGCAATCGCAATAATAAGAAGGTGCAAACCGTGTGGAACCGTAGCTCACTAGAGTCAGTAAACAAAACCTGAACTTATAATCAGACCAGATAATTCAATTACCTTTACCGCTCGTTAAACGTGAAACCTAAACTAAAATCCTAAGAGGCAGTAAATACGTTGAACTGTCGTAAGTATAAATCGAACGGTCGCGAAATATTCTCCGAGTTGCGGTCACACTGCGTCCAATTTCGGATTCGATCTCATTACCATAATGCGAGTGCACCAACAAGCGGGAGCGACAATCCACTGGTCCTTCTAAAGCGATCCTACATTTTTGTGCCAATCGAATACAATTTTAAGATATATCAAACTTAAATATTACTTGATGTAAACTCACATTTTTTATATAAACAATCAGTTAAAAAACAATCAGTCATTGCTGACGCTATAACCAATTTTTTTTATAGGATAAGGGTGACAAACGAGCATTCAACCTGATAGTAAGGAGAATCCCTGAGGATTAAGATGAAATGCCTCGTATCCAGTAAAAAGGGTCTCCGAATCTCTACCCTCATCCTAAAAATCACAGCAGCATTAAGCTGCTACTTTACACAGGTAACCATAATATAGCTGCAGTATGGTTCTACCACTTAAAATAATACTTACTAAATACTATAATTTGATGGCTATCTGGTCACGGTCTTCGGATAATTGCTGGTGTCTATCAAGGTAGTCAATAGCCTTTCGTTATAACTTTTTTCTTTTAATTATCAGCTCACAAAAGATTTGCTTTAATTGCTACGAGTGGAAGCCAGATTGACAATCGCAGTACCAGACTTTTCGTACCTTTGACGCTGCTGCCAGTCTCTAATCGGCGTAATTTACGTAAGCGGGATGGCTATAGCGCCATTTAACGGAAGTTGTAAAATGTGTTTAGAATTTCCCATAGTTGACTCTTACAACACCCACGGGACGAAATAAGATGACTGATTCTCTTACACCAAATCGTTCGTTCTCGGAAGACGCTCGCACTTGCACAGAGTGTCGACGAGAAGCGGCAGCGTAATGTTGCTGTATCCCGTATGGGGAACGAGGTGGTTTATCTTAGTCCTCAATGGTGACAGCTGATTGTTAATCGATCTTATCTGGTATCTACGAAGCACAGCCTCTATTTTTGTCATCGAGTAAAGAACGTAATTTGTTTGACACCCTTACTTCTATAAAAAGTACTTTTATTTATTTGATTAACTTATTCTTAATTCATTACTACAGTATGACATTAAATATAAGCGAAATGTTTAGTTGGGACGATAACTACAACCTCATTAGTGACTTAAATTGGCCTAAAAGTGTATCTATAAATGTTAAAAAAAGTTGAATTAAATTACGATAAGCTCGATAATCTTCGCGCCCGTGTGTCCGCGCTAACTTTAATACCTCGACTATTTTATATAGTATTTAGGTGCGCATTAAGAGTCATCTTTAACTTGGGAATGTTCCGATCGAGTTTCATTACCATACCGCTTGTCGAGGACACTTGACTACAGAGACGGTGTGCGCATATATGCGGCTACAGCCTTATATAGTGGCTATATGCGATACTCCGGCGAGATTAGACCTTTGGCGCTCTTGGAATAGATAGTGCACTCATTATCATATTCTGAGGCTTGAGAGAGCGCTGACTTTGTTAGATCCTGCACTGTGATCTTTTCAAGTGTACGTCGCGTGGAAATTATTTCATGTAGATTCGACGTGGGCTGATCTTGATGTCTGTTGGAGAGAAGAAACTGCAAATTGGCGGAATACAGACCGCGAATTATGGCTCAAGATCTCTTTTCACACGAACTCTATAAAAGAAGATATGATTTTCTTTTTGTTTTACTAATAAAAAGAAATAAAATGTCATATTTATTATTATTAGATAGACGTTTAAAAATAGCAAAATTGAATTGACATCAAAATCAAACAGGAATTTGTTACATCTTAATTAGTAGAATATTTATAAAGCGTTAATTATTAAATAAATACGATCTGATATTGAATTTAATTGAATTAAATGTGTTTGATTTAAAATTAATTATATCGTAACCGGATCTCGACTGATTGCTATATACAAATTTAGATTAACGAGCTTCTTTTAAATTTGTTAAATGATAACATAAAATTTTGAACAACTAATAACAGAAATGAGTTTGTCACATAACATAAATTAATTTTTAATAATATATAATAAAAAAAGTTATTTCTGATATTGAAGTAGTACATCAATCACCATGTTCTAAACATTCCAAGGTACAATCCAGTAATTATGGGTGTGAATACGAGGGCTTTGTAGACGAAGGGAGAGGCAGTGTGTATGCATCGATTTCATTGGAGTGCAGGAGGTTTTATCACCGACTAATGATCTCGGACGAGGCGTAATGAGGGAGTCGACTACGCGCCACCAATAAAGTATTTATGAAAACCTCCCGACGTAATGGAACGCGTCAAAGCGATTACAGACTTCCGCTAGCATTATCGTCCGATAATGGAATTAGGAAACGGAATTCACTGTAACGTACAATATAAACATTAGAATTGTGCAAGTACTTTTGATTAAGAAGATTTGAAGGGATTCAGTTTGTTTGGAATAATTAAAAATTTATATATTATATATTTTAATTTTCAATTGTACCCACTGATTTCAACCAGTGTAAGTTAGAAGTGATACGTAAGTCGTGTGGTAGAAACAACCGGTGTGATAGAACCTATCATCCTATTTCGTGCCATGGGTGTCGTTAGAGACGACTATGGAATATACCAAAAAATACTAATAGCTTCTGATAGACTGCTAGACGTCTATCTTGTTTACATCAAACCTAAAATACCAAGACCAGTGACGACCAGGAGACTCCAAATAACGAGATAAGCACTGCAACAAACTTCAAAAAAGAAAGGTATTGCTTTGTCACTCCATAAATCTAAGACGAAATGTCTCTCCACATCTAATTATATTAGGAATCTTTTAATTAAAACAGGAACACAACGGTGCTCTGCGGCCAAGGAGCAGAAATAGACAAGAGAACCAATTCAGACGGACCCCAGTGCAGTTATAAAATCTACGCATTCGGCAGATGATAGTAATTAGAGTAGGTATTAAGAAAAGTACAGAAATGGCGTCATTTGAGATGTCAAATATAACCGAAATGTCTAATAAAAATTTAAATTATTAAAAGATTATATACTAAAAGATTTTATATTTTTAACTTAATAGATAAATATATAAATAAAGATTTACTTTCGGAACCATGTTGGAGTGTAATTAAATTCCAGAATAACATTTATTTCCATATTGTGTGTAGTACAAAAACGCGAAAATTCAAAGTCGAAATAGATAAGACTCATTTGGTCAAGATCCATTTCGGATCGTTAAGACGATGGAAAATATAGGATAACAATTTAAAATTGATCAAACCATCAATTAGACGGAGAATACGAACATTATTTAGGCTACATTTGAGTCTAATAAAGACTGGTCCTAAATTTAGCCCTACTATTTTAGATTGCTTGAAGCTTTTGGTCCACAGGTAACATTCTTGCATCATTTGAATCTTGTTCGAAGCAAATAACTATTACAGGCTAATACAAACAACAACAAAGATTGATATGATGTAGAAGCGACTGTCACTAGTTTCGCTATTAAGTCCAGAGGACCGCAACCTACTAAGAAAATAATAAGCAGATCAAGTCGATTTTGAGACGTATTCATCGCAAAGCGGTCGGCAGAATGAGTGTCCAGTTATGGAGTCGACTAAATAAAGGAAAAGGACAATAGCCGATCGCATGTCGCCGCACGCAGAATGCGACTCGTTAAGTCGCTTCGGACGCGAATTTAAGAGACAGCTTCTAAATATCCAGTGGCGGTGCGCGCATGCGTTCGCAGATCTGTATCGCGCGCACAATACCGCAGCCGACCGTCACGACGTCCCTCGCAGAAATATGGACGCGACCGCCGCGTGCCTTCTTGTTTTATGTTAATGCACCCGCATAAAAGCCTAGCGAAAAATATCGCAATGTCGCCCGTGATGGAATAAGCGATACAGTCCCGATCATTAAGCGTATCGCGCCCATTAGCCATCTAGATGCCGATTGGGCGCGAGCAACGCGACCGCTTCAATTAGACTCTAACGCTATTGTCCCGTATCTCGAGACGTCAGCGGCAGGAGGAAGTGAAATAATTAACGTGGATTCATCGCGCGGCCGTCGCGTCGCGCTCCTGGCCCTATCGAGCCTGTCGATCTCCCGCGGGCGAAATTCCGAAACCTAATAAGTCCGAACTGGTCTCATTTGTGCGAGGGAAAGAATAAAAGAAATGCCACAGATAAAGGAGACGGTCCCGATAATTTAGGGTCATTGTTTCGCCACTTAATTTATGGAGTGTGTTGCGATTGATTTGTGGCCGATGCGCTTAATATCTGGGACGGATTATCGAGCGGGGGCGTCGTCGTACGTCAGGCGAGATCAATTCCTCCGGTGAGGCTGGATTTATTAGCAGTGGCGCGTCCTCTGCCGCGATATACATACAATGAGCGGCGGTATTCTGAATGCGAGATAGGAGTGGTCCAAGACTGGGCGGGGTGCGCACCATATACGCGGTCTTCGTGATGCACATATTAAATTGGACTCTGTACATGGGACGCGATAGGCACCGTTGACGACTTTGCGATCGTGAGTGTCCCTCCGGTAGTAAGCGCAGTGGGCGAACACAGGAAATTATTAATGCCTGGAGGCGTTCGGCTATAGTGCGGGTGGCGCGCTCGGTGCCGTGAAATTGTCTTACGCTGGTGGTACTCCGACAGCCATCGTGCACTATTTGGAAAATTATATTTTTAGTTATTTCGTACTTACAAATAGCAGTGATTGCATTGCTATTTGTAAGTACCAAACGTGCTGTCTGAAGAGTATAGAGAGCCTTCTTTGTTTACCATCGGGTGATCTGTAAGGTAGTTTGTTACTTTAGTTTTATTAAAAAAAAATTGAGATATTATTAGAAAAATTATGAACCGTCAATTGAATTTCGCTTTTAAATTATACTAGTTTTATATGCGCAAATAATTGATAATTCTTTAAGTAAATAAAATATTTGAATAATTCAGAGAAGCATTAGTAGTTAAGTCTTTATTTACTTTCGCATTAACCCTGGAGCCAATAAAAAACCTACAATATTGACAGGTACGAATAGGCTGCGAAGATTTATAGGCGCGATTGAGGCTCGTCTGCGGTATCGAATGTCCCTCCAGTGCATTAATTGGAACGGCTGCCGAGCAGAGACATCACCTCACTCTATAAATGGCTCGAGGCTTTATGGAATCGGATGGTGTGTTGTTCCCGCCAAACCCTGCGCCCGCGCCGCCTTGTAATTGGCCGGCCCCCGGTTGACATTTACACGTTGCAAGATGGCCGACCGATGCGATATGGCGACGAGTAATTGACAAATCGCCCTCCCTTTACTTCAACTCGGAATCGGAATAATTGGTATCGCATGTTACGCCACTATAAAGATTTTCTTTGGCTAATAAGCGAGCGTTTCTCGGAAGTACAGGGTTTGTTGAACACGAGTAAGGGGCAAATACAAATTCTGCAATGCTCCATATAATTATAGCGCGATTTACATGCAAGTTTTGCGCTGAGCTTATGTAAATGCGGTAAAAAAAGTTTTGTTTGTTATACGTTACAGATAGGTTCGTCACGGCACATGGACTTTGATGTAACCATTAAATTTCACACGAGCAATAAAAAAGGTTTGAAGGCAAACTATAATACGAGTTCGCGCAAGAGTAAAAATAAATATGCAATATGCATATTAAGCAATATTATTACTATAATGATTTATATTTACACGAACACTACATATCGAATAAAACTACTCTTATGGATTTAATGGCGTTTAATTTAAATTTTTAACGTGTTTTGCTTTGCAGCACTCATGGTCACAGAGGGAGTAGTAGTAGCAAGTTTTTGACGTCCCGATGTAATTTTTAACTCGGTGCACCTTCGTTAATTAAAATTAGCTTTTTTTTAATTTCAATAGCCTCATATATAACCCTTGGTAGGAATCGATGTTCTTTCGCAAGGATTTGAGGTCTATCAAATGTAATGTAATGGCGGAGGCGTCTAGGATATAGACTGCAGATTTTAAACTTTGTAAACAGCTATCTCCGCGGGAATATTCTTGTTTTCTCCACTATGTTCAGCTCGTTTTGAATGTATTTCCTGTTTCCGTCACCAGTTCCACATATGTCTTTTAGGAAATAAGGGTGACAAAAGAGCACGCAGTCCACATGATGGTAGGTAAGTGAATGCTGTGGCCCATAGACACCTTCATCTATTCGATTAAGAATCAATATGCAAATACGTTGTCATCCCCTGACGACTAAGATGGAATGCCTAGTTTGTAGTAAAAAGAGTCCCTAGTGCTCTTCACCATACAAAACACAGCAGCATTAAGCTGCTATTTTACACAGGTATTTATTGATAGACCATTCGTGCTGCAACCATAATATAGCTGCAGCATGGCCTTGTCACTTATAGAAATCCTGCTGTCAATCTGTCCCCCATAGTCCTGTGTTTTTGGAACATGGAATACTCTAAACCGGGTATTTTTTAAGCAGTGTAAAGGTGCAAGATATCTGATACCGAGATATCCAACGCTTTCCATTTCGTCTGCAAAGTGTAGCTGTTACGACAAATCTTGTTCTACAATGGAAGAAGTCTATGGCCTGTGTTGAGTGGATTGACGATGATAATGACATATTTCTACATAATTTCATACGACAATGACTACTAGACTCAACATTTCGCCCAAATATCTGGGTAGCTTTTTTTTTAAATTTTGTATAACTTTATGCATTAACTGCTTAGAGTGTTAAGTGGTCTGCGATGAAATTCAGTGTTGGCCGTTACTTATGCCGAGCGACCATTTTGTTACGTTAACTATTCTAACCGCATAGTAACTATGCTCGAAAATTTTATTGCTTTTTTTTTCTTTATATTTTTAATTTTATTATGTGTGGATAAAACTACTTTTAGTCAGGGTCAGTTATCAGTCCCCCGTGACCATGGTTGCTGGAAAGCAACCGAAACGTCGGAAATATAAGTTTATTAAACGCGATAAAATCCGTAAAAGTAGTTTTATTCAATGAGTAGTGTTCACGTAAATATAAGATATCATTTATTATGTGTGTTTGTGAGTATTATGTCTTTGCAATTGCTTCTTTTATTAATTTATTTTTAATTAAATATTAATAAAAAAGACTGAAAACACCTGCCAATCGTGGCAAAATCCTCCTTTTGAGTCTGTCTATGAGAATCCTATGTTCAGTAGTAAACTTTTGTAGGATGTAATGGAAAAAAATTACTAAGTTTACATTAAATTAACCTACCTATTAAATACATTGTTCTCTTACGCTAATTGCACCAAATCTTAAAAGTAAAATGACATTCATTCAAAAGGGTTATTTGCTGTGAATACCTTTTATTAGTGTTTTTGTATGATGAGTAGTTGAGTCGATTTTGTATGAGCGTGTTGTTGATTGTATTCATTTATTTTATTAATTTGAAACAAATGCTACTTTATTCTTAATATAAAATGAATATTATCATAGTTTTTAAATTGTTATGGCACTGCAATTGCACGTCCTTTAAGTATTTCAAGTACATCATTTAGATCGGACAATGGCGCGCTTAAGGCGCGGACCACACTAGCGTGCAGTGCAGTGTCGAACGGGCGATGGTCGCGCGATGATTGATCGCCCGTTTGTCCGCGCGGTGGATCCATCATCGGAAGCGTCGCCGGCCAGTCGCCGCCGAGTTGTCCGTCTGACGTCTTGATCAATCAAACCCTTTTACCGGGGAAGTATGAGTCTGCTCGGTTTATTTTGTCGCTTCATGTGCTAAATAAAGCGACGGTTGAAAATTTGCGTTAAAATTTTAGTTTAATAGTAGTGAGCTAAAGTGTATTTTATACCTAAATTAAGTTAAATAGTAAATTGAATTAATACAATGTAACTTTTTATTGAACATACAATTTAAAAGACTTTATGTAAAACACTTTCGTGTGTAAAATGCTAGATGTAATTACAACAAAACCGACACGTTAGGCAAGGCAATTAGGTAGGTTGAATTAATTTTAAATATGAAATAAAATCGTTAAAAATAGACGATTTGGTCCTGTAATATTAATATTTAGTAATATTTAGTATAATAAAATAAATAACTACCCTCTTATAAATTGCTATGCCCGTACGGGGCGTCACTCGATGTATGATGTATTTCTTGTGGCATGCAAATTATATAAAAAAGTAAAGAAATATGCCTAGATGATACAGTAGAAAATCCTAGTGTGGGGGAGAGGGTAACGTTTTTTTCTAAATGAATATAAGACAGACATCAAACGCGTTATCCAAAGTCATTCCTGCTCAACGTTCAAAAACACCACCTAACGCATACCTAACCATATTGTACGAATGCGTCGACGATACCACAAAATAACAACTGATCTTGATATTTTCAGTCCTCACTACGCTGCGTTTTTTTTTGTAAAATAATTTATAATTAAATCACTGAAGGATATGTGTACGTAATACGTATATATGAATATATTCTGTACTTATCAATTTTTATAAGCTTATTAAAAATAATAATATGTTGTATGTTGTCGCGCTATCACTTTTTTCTGCTGTACTGTATAAAAAAATGCTATTTTTATTTTCATTTTTAGATTTAAGATAGTTAATGACCATTTATTTTTTAATTTTCATTTTTTTTTAATATCCAAGGTTTTCATTGCTCTATTTCTGTTCGTGAAGTTTCATTACAATCGGTTCAACCATTCCAAAGATTAGCTCAGACTGATTTAAAAAAAATATTAGACATGTTTTGATTGCAGGCATATATGCTTACAAAATGTCTGTCTGTTAGTGACTGTAAACTGTTCGTACCTTTAAATAAATAAAATAAAATATTATTTATGTATAAAAAATAACAGAGACTTCTCGATCCAACATAAACGACTATTGGATATTTATCTTTCGAGTATAATCGATTGCCGCACTATCGCACGCAGCGCTGACGCAGATGCGATTATGATTGATCATGATTACATTTACCCAGGTAAACATTCACCCCCACTAATTGTCACCACCACTTTTTTGACACGTGCATCACTATCAGGCTCAAATCTAACTTTACCCTTTGAAAACCCAAATATGAACCATATCTCCTGCGCAGTAAAGCACTTTATCGCACGATTGTGTAATATGTTTGATTTTGACGTTTATCAAGTGAAGTATATTAATTAAAGGGAACGTTTTAGGTTTGCTCAGACAAAGATGGCGATGAGTGATGGATGATTTGTCAATATAAAGGGACAGCTCTCCGCTAAATACGATATAACAATATTTTAGAGGTAAAAATAAAAAAAGTAAATTCCAATTACGACTATAATTTATGATTTCAGCTACTATTTGAAGTGAAACTTCTTTATGGAGGTAGTGGAGTTTTTTTTGTAAATATTTATATTGCAGAAGTAATAAAATAAAAGAAGAATAATATCTCGTTAAGAAGTTTCACTTCGTATGTGTGTACACAATTACACGCACCATTTTGTTTTACTGAAAATGTTTCAGTTCAAAATATTTTATCGTTCCATTTATGTACGCACTAACTAGGACACTTATTTGTCCTTGCACTCTCTTGTTAGTCGTAAAGTTTACGAGTCCTTGCTTTGAATCTAGACCGAACATTCCAATATAAACACCTCCAACCCCACCAGTGATGTTAGATGTTTGCCCGAGGATCTTACACAATACAAACACATCTTACACAATACATTAAAGCTTACTATCACAATGCATCATCATCATTACAACCTTTCACAAGTCCACTGCCAAAGAAAGACCCCAAAGAATGACAAAGTACGTTACTGACCCACCTGTATCCATCGTTTTCTGCATCTGTTATCAGTTCGTCACTCCATCTAGTGCGGGGCCCCCATTCACGACGGTACGACGCGACAACTCGAGAACCTTTCTTCCCCATTTGTTGTCAGTTCTTCAAGCTAAATGGCCGGCCCGTTGCCACTTCAGTCTACTGATCTGTTTGGCTCTGTCGGCAGAGTAACTTTGGTTCTACTGCGAACATCCTCATCTCGAAGTCTATACGCAGATAAACTAGACAGAACTACCAAGCATAGGCCTCTCTATAACTCGCTTAGTGACCTTGAGTTTCCTCATATGCCCGCAGTGAAGGACCACGTCTCAGATTCATATGTCATCACAGGCAACACTGTTAGTACACTCTTGTTTTCAAGTTTTGAGGTATGACGGGAATATGAGTCTTTATCTCCCAAAAACTATCACACTTGTAAAAAAATAATACTTAACACAATATGAAACTGGGTTGGGAAGTAGTTGGTACATGGTATAAGTC